TCCACGTAGGTGCCTGTGGACTTCCAGGAAGCCATCTCTGCATCCATGGCTGACTTCCATAGAGAGGAGTAGGGACTCTCTATCGCATCTGCGTAAGAGCGCGGAGTCGGGATGGCTGGTGCATCCGGGTCTCCCTCAGGGGCAATCAGCATGGACACGAGATGAGGCAAAGCAGCACCAAAACACTAGAACTCCTCCTGCCTGTCCTCAAGGACGTCCGTGCTCACTCACCTTCGACGGACGGAGGACAGACAGACTCAGACTCAGCAACAAGACTAGCGGGCCGTGAGAGGGGCCACTAAGGGCGGCGCGAAGGTAGGGAGGGCACACAGAGCGCGACTCGGGCAGGAGTGAAGCGCGCTCCGGGCAGGAAAAAAAAATATCGTGGTGGGCCCTAGGTAGCGTTCCCACTAGGGAACCTGCTCGATACCATGATAAGAAACGAGGAATGAGAATGACTAAGGGAAAGTTGGGTACAAGTACAAACCCTAGAAATGTGTTGTACCCTATATGTGCTACCCCACTATAGCCTACATAGGCTAAGTCATATAAGTCTGACAGTGTGATCTCTGCGTTTGTTCACTTAGTCGTTTCCTTGTGTTCACGCTGCTTGCTAGTTCACGGGGAGAATTGGCAAGAGTTTCACTAGGAAAACATGACAATAATGGTAGCAACAGCATTGGTAGCATTGACTACATTAGAGCTAGGTAGGCTGCGGGTCAACCTCCAGCGCAGCACGGCCGACCGCGCTCCAGCGCTCGCACCGCTCCAGCGTTGCAGAGTAGCGGTTTGCCTAAAGTTGCAGTCCACGGGGTGCCTACACTGCAGCAAGTCGGCTGCACAGCGTTGCACTCGCAGGACAACGGTGCAACTGCTTCGCAGGTGCGCGCAGCTGGTTGGTGCGCACTTCCTTGTCACGTGCCCACCGCAGACGCCTGGCAAACTCCACGCCAGCGACTGCGCCCACCAGCCACGTCGACCTCGGGATACCACCCCCGAGGTCGGCCTCGCAAACTCCACCCTGGCAACACTCACGCACATCGCCCGGGTATCCCGGTCGACCGGGCAACCACGCCTGGCCGACTAGCGCAGTCCGTTGCTGGCCACGGATGCCCGGCGTCCCCAGTCCGGCGTCCAGGCGCCCAGGATGCCTTACGAACTCCCAGGTCGGCGTCCAGACGCCCAAGACGCCGACCAGACGCCCAGGTCGGTTTCTGGACCCCCAGGACGCCGTGCAGACGCCTAGGTCGGCGTCTGGCCTTCCAGAACGCCGTGCAGGCGCCCACGACGTCGACCAGGCACCCGGGTAATCATGGCGACGCCCAGCTCGGCGTCCAGCTTCCCAGGACGCCGTCTAGGCATCCGGGACGCCAACCAGGCGTCCAGGGCGGCGTCCTCCTGCTCGGCGCCCTCTAGCCAGGCGCCCTTCAGCTTGGCGCCCTTGCAGTGGCCCCCGTGCCCACTGCTGCAGGTCGGCTGCAACCCCCGCACATCCGACCACAAGGTTGGCTCCGCCCAAGCGAGGACGGGGCCTTACAACACTCCCGTTAACACTCCCCTGCCGCGTTCACGCTTGGGCCCCCAGCCCGCATGGCAGTACAACTCCGAGAATAGCCCGTCGGCGTGCACCCAACACACAGCACGCCGGTCACCGCACCAGCCATGCAAGAGGGCATGGTACTTACTGCTGCACGTCGTTGTCGCCGTCGCCCACGTCGGCCAAGCGCACCTGGCCGATTGCGACGGAGCACCGGTTGAAGGCCGGATAGTGCAACGCCTTCGTCAGGAAGTCGGCTGGCTGCTCAGCGGTCGGGATGTACTGCAGTGAGAACTTCCCGCGCTTCACCATGTGCTGCAGCCAGGCCTGTCGCCGCTCCATGTGCTTGAGATTGCCTTTCAACCCCATGCCCTCAGGCGACCGTGATGGCCGACTTGTTGTCCACGCGCAGGACAGTCGGCTTCCCGGCGTCCAGCTGCCGGATTTTGGCGAGGAGGAAGCGAAGGCGGCGTCCCTCCTTGCCAGCTTCTATGGCCGCCACGTACTTCAACTCGGTCGACGACAGCGTCACGCACTTGATGCGCTGGCTCGACCAGAAGACTGCGGCCCCACCGTATACGAACACGTAGCCACCCGTGCTCGTCCTGTTCTGCTTGTCACCGGCGTCATCGGCGTCCACATAGCCGGCCAGCTCGAGCGACTCAGGTCCACCGCCGAACTCCAAAGCGGTGTCACGTGTGTTGGCGAGGTAGGCAAGGCAACGGTTGACCTCGCGCCAGTGCTGGTTGCTCCTCACCGTGAGGCCGCTGCCCAGCTTGCTGCAGGCAAAGGCGATGTCCGGCCTCGTCGTCGTCGCCGCGAACTGCAACGAGCCGACCTTCTGCCGGTACTCCTCCTCCTGGCGTTCCTGCGCCTCCTCGTCGTCAAAGGTAAGCTCGGCGTAGGCGTCGACCGAGACCGGCGTCTTCGGGGTGCGCCCGGTCGGCTCCTCATCGATGAAGCGCCTACGTAGCTTGTCGACGTAGCCCTGCTGGTGCAGCCACAGCTTCCCCGCCGACCTGTCGCGCACGATCTCCAGTCCGAGGTACTTTTGCACCGGCGAGATCTCGCGCAGCTCGAAGGCGGCTTTTAGCAGCTCCTTCAGCTCCTTCAGCATCGCGGCGCTGCTGCTGGCGGCGAGGAGGTTGTCAACGTAGACCAGCACCCAGCAGGCCACTCTGTCCTCGCCGACCTTGAAGTAAAGAGCCTCGTCGACCTGGCTCTTCTTCCACCCGGCGCCGACCAGCACATCGTTGAGTGCCAAGTACCACAGCAGCGGCGACTGCTTCAGCCCATACAGGCTCTTCAGCAGCGTGCACACCCGGCCGGATCCATCGTTGAAGTAGTCCGGCTGGTGCATGTACAAGCACCCATTCGAGGTTGCTCTGCAGGAAGGCGTTCTCCATGTCGAGCTGCATCAGGTTGAGGTTGAGGACGGCGACGATGCTGAGGAAGATCCTCAGCGTGACGTAGCTGCTCACCGGCACGAATGTCTCGTCGTAGTCGGCGTTGTACACCTGCGTGAAGCCCTTCACGACCAGCCTCGCCTTCTCTCGCCCGACGGTGTCGTCGATGTGGTACTTCATCGTCAACACCCACCGGTTCTTCATGATGTTCACTCCGGGCGGGCGTTCGATAAGCTCCCACGTTCTCATGTTGAGGAGGCTGCGAATCTCCTCCTCCATGGCGGCCTTCACCGCCGGGCCCTTCCAGCTTGCCAACGCCTCCTTCAACGTCATCGTCGAGATGTCCCAACGGTGCTCGGGGTCGCCTAGCATGTCGGGGTCGAGCTCTGGAAACTCCTCATCCTCTTCGGCGTCGTCGTACAGCAGGTCATCATCGTCGACGTCGTAAACCGTGGGGAAGGCAGCGGGGACGAAGAAGTCAGGCGGCCTCCGAAGTCGGCCTGAACGCCGTGGTCCCGGCTGAACCTCCTCGGCGTCCCCTCCATCGTCGCCGTCGTCGCTGCCCTTGGCGTCCTGCTGCTCCTCAGCCGGCGTCCCAGCCGACTTCTCCCCTGTGGTCGGCGTCCCAGCCGACTTCTCCCCTGTGGTCGGCGTCCCAGCCGGTGACCTGGTCGCCGACTGCTCCTTGGTCGGCGTCGCTGCTGCCTGCTCCTCTGTCAACTGCTGTTCTGCAAGCGCCTCCTTTACCGGTTTCACCAAAGGCGTCTGCACCACCTGCTGCCTCCCAGTCGGCGTCAACTTTGCTCCCACACCGACTTGCACAGCATCACGTCGGCCACCGGCGATGCTTGGGGCCGGCGCCACAGGTGACGCCTCACGTCTCCCCTCATCACCGAAGGCCGACGTCGGGGTCAGCCCATGCAAGTCGGCGTCCAAGGGAGGGGCAGGTGAAAGGTAGGGACCGGGGACGTCCTCGGCGTCCTCACCAGCAAGCGCACCGACCTCGGCGAGTAGAGGCACCGACGCCGTCGAGGTGTCCGTTGGCGGGTGAACCGGCATCCGCCCAGACACCGGCCCGTGCGCCGACTTCCACATGTCCAGCGACATGCTCTCGTAGAACACCACGTCCGACGTGGTGACCACCCGGTTGTCGAAGATGTCGAGGAGCTCCCAGCCCTTGCTCTCCTCCGACACGCCGAGGTGAAGGTCCCACCGTGCCTTCGGCTGCAGCTTCCCACCACGCTGCTGCTTGGGGACTAAGAACTGCGCCATGCAGCCCCACACCCGCGCCAGTGATAAGTCGGGCTTCTTCCCAGTCAGCAGCTGGTACGGCGTCGTCCCCAGCGGCAGCGCCGACCTCTCAAGGCAGTTGCGGACCCAGACAGCTTGCCGGAGAGCGAGGTGCCACCAGTGGTGCTGCACGCCCATGTGCAGCAGCATTGTCCGCACCGACTCCACCACTGTCCTCATCTCCCGCTCCGCCATGCCGTTCTTCTGCGGGGTGTATGGGCAGGTCAGGTCGTGGACGATCCCCTTGCCATTCACGAAGTCGGTGAACTGATTCCCGAGGAACTCCCCTCCCCGGTCAGACCGCAACATCAACACCGACTTCTTCGCCTGCCGCTCAGCCACCGCCAGCCACTGCACAAACACCGGCAACGCATCTGACTTCTTGCCGACTGGCTTCACCCACACGTAGCGGGTCTTGCGGTCCTTTAGCAGCAAGAAGTACAGGCTGCCACCCTTCGCAGCCACGCGGAACGGCCCGCACAGGTCGATGTGCACGACGGCCAGCACGTCGTCGGCATCGGAGCCTTTGTCGGGGAAGGTGTGCCGCGTTAGCTTCCCTCTGACGCACCAAATATACGAGGAGTCGGCGTCGGACGCCGACTTGAGGTCCAGCCCGGTGGCGACCTCGTGCTCCGCTGAGCTCCAGATGGTGTCCAGGCCGACGTGCACAAGCCTTGCGTGACACCCTCTTCGCTGCAGCCATGTGCTCCGGTCTGTGTCTCCCAGGAGCAACATAGCGTGCGAGAATGCTAAGAGGGTATGCAAGGTCAGGTCGTGTGCAGGTCATCAGGTACATGAGGCAGCCAACATGGGCCACTCGACTCTACGGACTCATCCGAATGCAGAGCTGAGAGCGAGTGGCGAGTAGGCAGAGGAGTGGCCTGAGGCGAGGAGTACGTGAAGCCGAAGCGCTGAAGGACCTGCTGCACCATGTGTGACTGAGCCAGGGTAATGGTGCGGCGTGCTCTCTCCCGGGTGATCTGCAAGCCAAGGTAGCTGCGCAGTTCACCCAGGTCTGTGCACGTGTGTCTCTTCTGCAGCTCGGACTTCACGTGGGCGAGTCCAGCAGTGTCAGCTGTGGCAAAGACCAAGTCATCGACGTACACGAGGATGTAGAACAGCGGCAAAGAAGTGTCGGTGCGCAGAAACAGCGACGGGTCGGCAGTAGAGGGAGCAAAGCCAAGAGCCGCAAGTGTAGTCCTCAGTGTGTCGTGCCACTCACGCGGTGCCTGGCGGAGACCGTAGACTAGCCGCCGGAGGCTCCACTGGGTACCAGGAGGAAAAGACCCAGTGAAGCCAGGTGGGCGACGCAGCCAGATCTCCTTGTGCAGGCTGCCCTACAAGAAAGCTGTGCTGAAGTCAAGAGAGTGCAGCTCGTAGTCGCGGTGAGCAGCTATGTGCAGCAGTACCCGAAGAGTGGTCATCTTTGGGGTGGGAGAGAAGGTCTGAAAGTAGTCAACTCCCTGCCGCTGACTGAAGCCACGAGCCACATAACGCGCCTTGAAGACAAGCGGAGAACCCGGCGGCCGCTTCACCCTGAAAATCCACATGCCACTGACGATGTTCGCCCCAGGCGGGGGAACCTCGTCAACGTAGGTGCCAGTGGACTTCCAGGAAGCCATCTCTGTGTCCATAGCTGCCTGCCACTGAGAGGAGTAGGGATCCTCTATCGCCTCCGCGTAAGAGCGCGGAGTCGGGATGTCAAGTGCATCCGGGTCTCCCTCAGGGGTAAGCAGTACGGACACGAGATGAGGTGAAGCAGCAGCCAAACACTGAAACTCCTCCTGCCTGTCCTCAAGGACGTCCGTGCCAAGGGCACACTCACCCCCGACGGACGGAGGATAGACATACTCAGACTCAGCGACGAGACTAGCAGCATAGTCTAGACGACAGCGAGCAGCAAAGTCGACGAGCTCAGCAACTAGGGCAGACGCAGCAGTGGACTCAAAGGAAGGGTCAGTGAGGACAGTAGCAAGGAGACGCGTGACAGTAGGACTGGCAGCACGAAGAGATTCCGACTCCGGGTCGGCAAGAGCAGGAAGAGAGGACTCAGGAGGAGAAGGCAAAGGGGCACGCAAAGGAGCAGTGGACGGACGCAGAGACATCCGGTGCGTGCCAGGGACAGGAGGAGGACGCTGACGCGAACCACGACCACTAGTGCGAAGCAGGACGGACAGGCGACACAGGGCGAGACGCAGGCTCACGACGCTCGGCAAGACCTCCAGTAGGACCAGTGTAGGGAGAAGGAGCAGGCACTGGGGAGGCCGGCTGTAACTGTAATTGTGACGGGACAAGCTGTGGACACTCTAAGGGAGGAGGAGGACCAGTAGAAGGCGGGAGACCAAGAACCTGCTGAAGGAGCGGAACGAAGTACGGCCAAGGCCGCGCGGCGACTCCAGACACAGCAGGGACAGCACCAGTACCCCCAGCGGCAGCACTAGCGCCAGCAGCACCTCCAGCTCCAGTACCTCCAGCAGCACCAGTAGCACCCCCAGCAGGACCGCCTCCAGGACCGACAGCAGTAGCCTCAGCGCCAACACCCTCAGCAGCTCCAGCTCAAGTCGTATCCGCAAGCCCAGCAGCTCCAGTACTCCCAGTACGAGCACCTCCGGGACCCGCGGCACCAGCACCCTCAGCAGTCGAAGAACCTCCAGCTCCAGCAGCACGCCTCCAGCGCCGGGCAAACCACTCGCGCAGCTCCTGTGGAGAGAGTGGCTCCCGCCGAGACGAAGCACCCGGAGAACCTCTAGGCCCAGCACCACCAGACGCCATACGAGCAGGCCCAGCTCCTTCAGGCTCCGCACCCCCAGGCTCAGCACCTCCAGGCGTAGCACCCCAAGGCTCAGCACCCCCAGGCGTAGCACCCCCAGGCTCAGTACCCCCAGGCTCAGCACCCCCAGGCTCAGTACCCCCAGGCTCAGCACCCCCAGTGGTAGCACCCCCAGGCTCAGCACCCCCAAGCTCAGCACCCCCAGTAGTAGCACCCTCAGGCTCAGCACCCCCAGGCGTAGCACCCACACGCTCAGCACCCCCAGAGTCAGCACCCCCAGGCTTAGCACCCTCAGCAGCACCAGAGTCACCAGTAACCTCGACAGGCTCGACTGCGTCTACCTGGGACACACCTGACGGGGCAGGACCCTGAGGGGGGAGGGGGTCGACCGGGGGGGACCTGGCACAAGGAAGAGCGGTGGCGGGGGGAGGGACGGAGTGCGGTAGGGGAAGAGGCGGTAGTAGGGGACCGACTCGTCAAACGTGACGTCCTGGGAGGACAGAACACGGCGAGAGGTGGGGTGGTAAAACTGCCGCCCTGGCGCGTCAGCGGGGAAGCCAAGGAAGACGCAAGGAGCAGCACGAGGGGACAGCTTGTCCGCAGACAAGTCACGGACAAACGCCCGAGATCCCCTAGACACGGAACGCAGACACATCGCCAACCTTCCCCATCCACAGCAAAGCTGGGAAGGTCTCCGGCCTGGAGATCCTGGGGTGAAGGTTGATCAGATGCGCCGCGTACCAAACCGCAAACGGCCACAGAAAATGGGGGGCAGCCGCATGCATCATGGACGTACGAGCGATGTCCATGACCATGCCAATGCGGCGCTCAGCAATCCCATTTTGCTGTGGAGAGTCCGGAAGCGTGAAGGTCTGGCGGATGCCTCGTGCACGACAGTAGGCTCGCAGAAGGCCAGAGGAGAACTCTCCGCCTCTGTCAGAGTGCAGACGTAGAACAGGAAAGTCCGAGCCGAAGCTCTACTTGAGCTGGAGACGAGCTGCGCGGATCCAGTCGATCAACACCTCAGTGACATCACCCTTGCTGCACAAGGGGAAGACTGTGGTGTAACGCGAATAGTCGTCAACCACCAACTGGAAGTAGTGCTCGTGACCCTGTCCACGGACGCGGGCCGGGCCCCACACGTCCATGTGAAGCGTCTGCAGCGGGGCCTCTGTCGGAGGAAACTCGGAGGAGTGAGGGGCAGCCCGCTGCCGCCCCTCGACACAGGGGACGCAGGTAGGGCCAGGCCCCGGAGGAAGGGGAGGGAGGGACCGGGGAAGACCAGAGACAAGGACACGAGAGGCCATGCCTCGGAGATGAAGCAGGGAGGGGTGACCAAGACGGTGGTGCCAGAGGAGAGTCTCGTGAGACAGGAGGCGACACGAGCAGGGGGCAGACTCAAGACCAGACCTGGACGCTGCAACAAACACCTGACCCGACGCAGCTACCTGACCAGACGCAGTGACTGGAGGAGACGCAGTGGTCAGTGTGTACAGGCTCGACCCAGGCCAACGTGTAAACGTGGCCAGGTGTCGGCCTGTCCTGAGCGTCCGTGCAGTGGGTCACCCGCTGACTCGCAGGAGTGAACTGGTGAACCCCCGCATCCTGTAGGTCAGCACCACTCACCAAGTTCGTAGAGAACGAGGGGAGGTAAAGGCCACACAGAGGTGCCAGAGGGGGCCGCCGGAGACGGGAGGACAATGGAGAAGTGAGCAAGGACAGGACCCCCAGAGGGGTCTGCCAGAGAGACTGCAACTGGCCGGCCAAGCGGCGTGAGTATGGTGCGGTCTCGAAAGAAGGAGCGAGAAGCCCCCGAGTCAAGGGTGAAGGTGTGGGAGGCCAAAGCCGACGCAGTACCTGAGAGAGCAGACTCACCAGCACCTGAGGGAGCAGACGCACAAGCACCTAGAGCAGCAGCCTTGCTAGCACCTAGAGCAGCAGCCTCACCAGTACCTAGAGCAGCAGTCTCAATGCGTGGGTCGGGCGGAAAACACCGGTAACAGTCACCCGCATCACTAATAGTCACAGCATACATGGCAGCAAGAATAGCATCAAAGTCAAGGTCAAAGACAGCTACTCCCGCCCTAGACAGCTCGCCCCAGCGGGGGATCTCAGCGGCCTCCAGGGACTGGTGACGCCAAGCGTCCGTCAGGTGGCCAAAGCAGCGCTAGGTGGAGTGCGCACCCCCCCACTGCTCACCCGCGCGGTCGCTGGTGCGTAGGACGTAGGTGCACGGACCAGTACCCCCACCCCGCTGGCGTGCAGCGTACCACTCACGGAGCTGCTGAGGGGGGGGGGATGTCACGAGTGCGCTGCTGCTGCTGCTGGCGCTGACCACCACCGGAGCCGACCCTCTGCGCAGCGCCACCCCGACCAGCTCCACCTCCTCCGCCACCGCCTCCTCCACCGCCGCCACCTCCGCCACCTCTGCTCCCACCGCCCCCATCGCCGCCGCCTCCGCCTCCACTGCTGCCACCGACACCTCCACCCCCGCCACCACCCCCACCGCCACTCCCACCCCCTCCGCCGCCTCCACCGCCGCCTCCACCGCCCCCGCAAGATCCTCCAGCGCCCCGGCCCCCCTTGCCCTTGCCAGGGCGGCGTCTCCCGCTAGGGGTAGACGCCGCACTGACCGACTCAAGACCAACGAGGTCGGCCGCAGCAGCAGAGGCAACAGAGGGCAAAAGGGGGGAGGGGGAACACCCCTCAAAGATGGGGGTGCGAGGGTCACCACGAGAGGCTCCTACAGCTACTATGCTCTTCTCTGCTGCTAGGAGGGCCTTCTCGAGGAGGTCAACGGTGAGAGTGGTGGGGCAAACTGAGAGGAAGTGGTCCCTGACTACGCGAAGGGAGTCAGGGAGCCGAGTGACTATGTAGTAGAGGGTGATGTACATGGGCGCTGCTCTTACCGGACAGGGCGGCTCGGGCGGCTCGGCGGTTCGGCGGCTCGGCGGCTTGGCGGCTCGGGCGGCTCGGCGGCTCGGCTGCTCGGCAGCAACTGCGGCTCGGCGACTCGGCGGCGCTGGCGGCTCGGCGGCTCGACTGGTACGGCGGCTCGGCAGCTCAGCGACCCAGCGGCTCGGGCGGCTCAGGTGGGGCGGCGGCTCGGGCGGCTCAGGTGGCTCGGGCGGCTCGGCAGTAGGTCGGCGGCGCCGGCGGCTCGGTGGGGACGGCGGCGGGGCAAGTAGAGGCAGCGCCGGGGCCGGGAAGGGTAGCGCCGGGGCCGCAGGGTAGGCGACGGGGCCGGCAGAGGTGGCGCCGGGGTCGGGAAGGGCGGCGCCGGGGCCGGGAAGGGCGGCGCCGGGGCCGGGAAGGGCGGCGCCGGGGCCGCAGCGGTAGGCGACGGGGCCGCAGGATAGGCGCCGGGGCTGCAGGGTAGGCGACGGGGCCAGCAAGGTCGGCGAGGGGGTCACAGGGTAGGCGTCAGGGCCGCAGGGTAGGCGCCGGGGCCAGCAGGGTAGGCGACGGGGCCGCAGGGTAGGCGACGGGGCCGCGAGGGTAGGCGCCGGGGCCACAAGGGTAGGCGACAAGGCCGCGAGGGCGGCTTGGAGGGGCCGCTAGGGCGGCTCGAAGAGGCCGCGAGGGCGGCGCGAAAGGGCTGCAAGGGCGGCGCGACGCGACGGGGCTGCGAGGGCGGCGGAACGGGGCCGCGTGGGCGGCGCGACGAGGCCGCGAGGGCGGCGCGACGTGATGGGGCCGCGAGGGCGGCGCAACGGGGTCGCAAGGGCGACTCGACGGGGCCGCTAGGGAGGCGCGACGCGACGGGGCCGCTAAGGGCGGCGCGACGGGGTCGTGAGAGGGAGCGCGACTCGGGCAGAGGTTGAGCGCGCTCCGGGCAGGAAAAAAAAAACGGTGGGCCCTAGGAACAGTTCCCACAGGGGAACCTGCTCTATACCATGTGTAATTGAACGAGAATGATTGAACTATGAAACAGTTGGGTACAAGTACTAACCCTAATTGGGTTGTACCCTTTATGGGCTACCCCACTACAGCCTACACAAAAGTATAAGCTATAATGTTCTGACACATCCTGTCCGGCGTTGCCTTCGTCTTCGAGACGATCGCGCGCAGGGCCACTACCTCCGTGGTAGGCGTTGTCGACGTGGCCGAGCAGGGGCGCAGGTCGGTGCAGAGGACATGCCCCGTGTACGTCGCCCGACCGAGCACCTCCCCTGCTGCCGAGACGAGCAGCATCCCGTCACCGTCCTCCTGCAGCTTCACGCCGTGCTCCTTCAGCTGGCCGGCTGAAAGCAGGTTTGCCCGGACGCCGGGTACGTAGAGCACATCGGGGATGAGCACCTGCTTCCCGGCCTCCCCTTGCAGAGTGACAGTGCCGCGGCCCTGAACGTCCTAGAGCGCCCCATTGAAGCCGCGCACGTGCTTCACGTCGTCGCTCGGCCCCAAGTCGACGAAGGCCTCCTTCGTCCCCATCAGGTGGTGCGAGCAGCCGCTGTCGAGCAGGACCACCGCTGGGTTTGCCTGCGTAGCTGCTGCTACCGCCTGGAAGTCCTCACCGGCCTCCGGCGCCAGTGAGACGGTCGGCTCCATGACGCCGACCAGCGAGCACGACGCCGCCTTGTCGTCTCGCCCCTTGCTGCCTGCAGAGGAGTCGGCGTCTGTCGCCGAGGCCGACTTGCTTGACTGCTTCTCCTTGCGCGGCTTGTTTCCTCGACGTGGACGACGGCTGGCCGACCTCCCGCGGCCTCCCTTAGCGTCGTCGTCATCGGTATCGCTGCGGTCGGGACATTCGAAGGAGAGGTGGTCGGGGCTGTGGCAGATCCAGCACTCCTGGCGGCGACTTCCTCCTCCGTGACCGCTATCCTTGGCCGACTTCTTCTTGTCGGCGTCCTTGCTCGGCTTCCAGCCACTACTACCGCCACCGCCGGACTACCCACGCTGCCCTGGTCGGCCTCCTTGCTTCGTCGGGGCGACGAAGTTGGCCTGCGCCAAGAGCTCCTTGGATCGCTCTGCCTCCTGCATCGCCTCGTCCTGCAGGATATACGAGGTCAGGTTATCCTCGTTGAGCGTCATCCTCGTGCTCGGCGCCATGGACAGCCGCTTCAGGAGGTTGTAGCTGCTCGAGAGCCCCTGCATGACGTGAGTGACGTACGACGCCGTCGAGTACTGGGCGCCGGCCATCCTGATGGTGGCGAGAATTCGCCGGGCCCGGTTGCAGTAGTCGGTCGCCGTCTCCTCGTCGCCCATGCGCAGGTGCGTGAGCTGTCCCTCTAGCTGGGCGATGAACAAGTCGTCAGTGACTTAATAGGTCGACTCGATGAAGTTCCACGCCCGGTGGCCGGCGTCGAGGTACTCTCGGCATCACGTCAAGGCGATCTGCACGCCCGGCGAGCAGCACCGCGAGATGACCGTGAAGGTCAACAACTGCACGGCGCGAAACTCAGCACGCAGGTTGGGGTGGTGCTCCCCCGGCGTCGCCACGGTCCCTCGGGCGAAGCCGATCAGCCCGGCCATCTCCAGCTGGGGCTCAATGGCTTCCTTCCAGGTGAGGATGTCTTGTCGACCAACGAGCGGCGGGGTGACCGAGATCCTGTCCGGCGTAAACTTGAAGTAGCCGTAGCTCGGTGCAATCCCGCCCGCCGTCACCTGGGTCGCCGGCATCGGCGACAATCCACTTCGACGCCCACCGGCGTCGCCCTGCGAGGAGCCTGCAGCCGCCGACGACTGCATCCCTCGTGCCTGAACGCCGCCGCCTTAACCGGCGTGTATCACACCTCGCTGCCTCGACGTGTCTCCCGCACTGCTGCCGACCTTGCCTCCACCGGCGTTGACACCCACGTCGACGCCGCCATCGTCGTTCACCGGTCGAGGAGAGGCAGGCCGAGAAGGGGGGTGCTCCGCTGCCCACATGGAGCGGAGTCCTGCCTCGACGACTGCCCAGGGTATCGCCCCGTACTCCTGGGCCTCATGGCGTCTCCTCGCATCCTCCAGCCGTCCCTCCAGGGTGTCCATCACCTCGGCGTCGCCTATGCGCACGCTAGTAACGGCACGGCTGCCGGTCTACGAACACGATCGGTAAGTCGGCTAGACTGAACTACGTCGCGGTGTCGTTCACGCTCACCGCACCATGCGGAGATAACTGCTAAAATGGGAGCTAGGCTATGGGCTAGGCACGTGTGCTCGTGTGATCTCTGCGTTCGTTCACTTAGTCGTTTCCTTGTGTTCACGCTGCTTGCTAGTTCACGGGGAGAATTGGCAAGAGTTTCACTAGGAAAACATGACAGTAATGGTAGCAACAACATTGGCAGCATTGACTACATTAGAGCTAGGTAGGCTGCGGGTCAACCTCCAGCGCAGCACGGTCGACCGCGCTCCAGCGCTCGCACCGCTCCAGCGTTGCAGAGTAGCGGTTCGCCAACGTTGCAGTCCACGAGGTGCCTACGCTGCAGCAAGTCGGCTGCACAGCGTTGCACTCGCAGGACAACGGTGCAACTGCTTCGCAGGTGCGCGCAGCTGGTTGGTGTGCACTTCCTTGTCACGTGCCCAGCGCAGACGCCTGGCAGACTCCACGCCAGCGACTGCGCCCACCAGCCACGTCGACCTCGGGATACCACCCCCGAGGTCGGCCTCGCGGACTCCACCCTGGCAACACTCGCGCAGATCGCCCGGGTATCCCGGTCGACCGCGCAACCACGCCTGGCCGACCAGCGCAGTCCGTAGCTGGCCACGGATGCCCGGCGTCCCCAGTCCGGCGTACTGGCGCCCAGGATGCCTTACGAACCCCCAGGTCGGCGTCCAGACGCCCAAGGACGCCGACCAGACGCCCAGGTCGGTGTCTAGACCCCCAGGACGCCGTGCAGACGCCTTGGGTCGGCCTCTGGCCTTCCAGAACGCCGTGCAGGCGCCCACGACGTCGACCAGGCACCCGGGTAATCATGGCGACGCCCAGCTCGGCGTCCAGCTTCCCAGGACGCCGTCTAGGCGTCCGGGACGCCAACCAGGCGTCCAGGGTGGCGTCCTCCTGCTCGGCGCCCTCTAGCCAGGCGCCCTCCAGCTTGGCGCCCTTGCAGTGGCCACCGTGCCCACTGTTGCATGTCGGCTGCAACCCCCGCACATCCGACCACAAGGTTGGCTCCGCCCAAGCGAGGACGGGGCCTTACAACACTCCCGTTGACACATGATGCTATTCTTGCTGCCATGTATGCTGTGTCTACTAGTGATGAGGGTGACTGTTACCTGTGTGTTCCGCCTGACCCGGACATTGAGGCTGCTGCTCTAGGTGCTGGTGAGGCTGCTGCTCTAGGTGCTAGTGCGTCTGCTGCCCCATGTGCTCGTGAGCCTGCTCTCTCAGGTACCACGTCGGCTCAGGTGAGCCAGCGTAAATCCTGTGCAGCCATGGCCCCTGCGTAGATCTCAGCCTCACAACTAGAGCCGAGAACAGAAGACGAGCGGGTAGACCGCCACGAAACAGAGCCGGAACCAAGGCTGAAGGTGTAACCCTGTGACGACTGCTGCGTAGCCTGGTTGTCAGCCCAAGAAGCGTCTGCGTGACCAGTGAGGACCACTGGACTCCGCCTTCCAAGCACGAGCTCCATGCCCGACGTACTGTACAAGTAGCGCAACACCCTCTTCGCTGCAGCCATGTGCTCTGGTCATTGTCTCCCAGGAGCAACATAGCGTGCTAAGATGCTAAGAGGGTATGCAAGGTCAGGTCGAGTGCAGGTCATTAGGTACATGAGGCAGCCAACAAGCTCTGGGTACGGGCCACTCGGCTCTACGGACTCATCTGACGGCAAAGCTAAGAGCGAGTGGCGAGTACACAGAGGAGTGGTCTGAGGCGAGGAGTACGTGAAGTCGAAGCGCTGAAGGACCTGCTGCACCATGTGTGACTGAGTCAGGGTAATGGTGCGCCGTGCTCTGTCCCGGGTGATCTGCA